AACAAGCTTTGATGCAGCTCCAGGTCCTTGACAAATAGTTTGCTGTGGACTTCTTGTGCTACGTCAGATCCCAGATGTAATATCCGTACCGGCTAATTGCGATAGTCCATTTGAATCATTCAGGAAGAAGAAGCCACGGAGGGGTGGAGGGGGGGCCAACCATCGGGCTTACTTTCCTATCCATTTACACCCCCCTCCACTTATTTTTTTTCCAAAAGGGAACAATCATATTTTTGTGTGTGCAAACATTTCACTCTCTTATTTTGGCGGTATGACGACGAGCGGCGCCCCTCTCCGCGGCCTCCACATTAGCACTTGGGCATCGTTGGCGTTCGGCCTCCCCAGCGCGTTGGGAGGGATGGGTTCCTGGTAGTTGAGGATGTGCGGTTGCTCCTGGTAGGGGCGGCCCACCAGTGAGGCCCGAGAGCCCAGCGGCATGTCTGGATCCACGGCGATATCCACCCGCATCCGCCACCGCACCGTCTGCAACACTATACGCTCCTGGAAGAGGAGACAGAGCCACCGTGTTAATATGGTCGATGTGCTTGCTGATGATCTTTTAAGACCAAGCTGCTGACACAAAACTAAAACAGCCGTGCTTTCCTCGTGTTCTTTAATAAAATATCTCTTTCAAAAGACAACACATCCTGATTCACATGTTGTGCTGGACTGACTTCTGATGCCGCTGCTACATCAGGAGAGTTGAAGGTAATGATGAGATATTTTGTAACTTTACACCAGACTGGGAAAGTGCAGGAGAAAGTGATTACATCATAGCCAGTGTGAAATGGGAGAGTGGTTTCTGAAGATATACGGCTGTTTTTCTCCCCCCTCCCCCATCTTATCGTGATGTGGGCCAAAGGCGGGATCGCTGTGTTTCGGGCCTACCTTCGTGACAGAGTTCATGGCCACCAACCAGGTGATGAAACTCTGGTCCCTGGTGATGTGGGTCAGCATGGGTGTGTTGCTGTTGCTGATGGGGACAGCCCAGGTCACACTGGGGTAGAAGTTGTCGTTCATGCTGACCGTCAGACGGGACGGTTTGGATGTAGGGCCGGTGAGGGTGACCGTCTCTGTGGTGTTGCCGTACCAGGGGTAGCTGACACCATCCGAGTCACTGATGGCCTTGACCCGACCCTCTCGCAGTTCTGGTAACTCCCAGCTGGACCTGCAGCAGCGGACAAAAGAGGACACAGAGAAGCAGAGGATGAGAGACTGTGTGTGTGTGTGTGTGTGTGTGTGTGTGTGTGTGTGTGTGTGTGTGTGTGTGGCAATGCCAGGTACAGGGTTTTGGTCTAGATGTGTGTGTGTGAGAGAATCACATGCACACCTTAGAGGCCCACAGTAAGCAAGAGAGGTTTGATGGCGTCTTCTACACACTTACATGCCAATATCGCCATAGGTATTGTAGAACTCCATCTGGGTGCAAGCTTGGATCCAGCCCACCACCCAGGTTTCGTTGCGGGGCACTGGTGGCATCACGACTCCCGCTGAGGCCCTGAAGTAAGGTGTCTTGTAGCGGAGCACAATCGGTGAGTTCTCCTCAATGATGGTGGGACACTGGTCAATAGAGGCGGACACCTCATACACTACAATGTTCTCCCGTCTGATGCGGGGCTTGCATGCGATGCTCTGAATACAGCCCATAGTGCAGGCGACAAGCAGAATGAGCAAAGCCAGAGAAGACGGGAGCCGATGATACCTGGCCAGTATGCACATCAGTCCCCTCAGGGTTCCACCCTTGCCTCAAGAGCAGATCTAATCCTTTAATTGCACATAATCACTGATTGGATAAAGGAAGAAAGGGGCGAGAAGAAGAAGAAAAAAAGCTAGGGGAATAAGCAACAGTCACCATTGATGAAAAATGAAAACTTCCACCATAATATCTTTAGGATGATATGGAGGTGAGACAGCAGTGTTGACTTGGGGGGAAGTATCGCAGATCTTCGCAGCCTCCTCCCCCCGGTCTGCCTGCTGACTGCCGCACTGCCCTTGGCGCTCGTCCCCAGAAACTGCAATCCGGCCTCCCCTGGGCTGCTGCTGCTGCCTCTCCGCCGAGCGTCCGCAGGCTCCTGTGTTCCCCGTCGTGTCCGCACGTCCGGCCGCACGTCGGTGCCCCTTGATCCTGCTGCTCTGCTCCCGGCTCTGCGCTGTCATGTCAAGTGGCGACAGGGCAGCCAGGTGCGTCGGGTCTGGATGCCTTTTGTTTGCTCGGCTTTTCCCGTACTAGCCCTACATTCGCGAGGCGCCCTCACAAGCCAGAATCGGGGGTCCTCATCACTTTAAGCCCGCCATGAAAAGGAAGCTTCAGTAAAAAACGAGCGAGGACGATGTCTTACGAAAGCGAGCCACCGGGGCCGCAGAGGGTTATTTTAATGTTTCTCTTTTTTTCCCCTTTCCTCGCAGCGAGTTTCCATTCTTGGGGATGCATGAATGGTGCAATATGAATGGAGGCAGCGAGGCGGCATAAACGTGCAGGCGGGGAAACAGCGACTATACCGTCAGACTATCGATCTCGTTGTTGCCGCTCAGCCTCACGGGCCGGAGAGCATCCTCTTCCCGCGGAGGGTCGAGTTGTTCGGTTTCGAGGTGCTGATGCTGTGTGGAGGTAGAGGAGGGAGGGGCGTCACCCGACCTCTGCATTGAAAAAAAAAAAACAAGTGCACGCGGGCGTGTCTACGAGCATGCGTCACGCTAGAGTGGGACGCCATTGGTGGATTTGCTCGATAGCGGAAGTAGTGTCGTTTGACATCAACTCTCACTGACACGCATACACCGGCCAGCTCGGCTTATTAATACTATCATTATATATCCATACGTCGCCGGGTCGTACCGCAAGCCGGTGGCGCTAGTTTATGATCGGCCGTTTGTTCGGTAACTTGTCGCAGAAGGTCCCGAGTTTGCTGTACCGGGTGTCGCTGGTGATGAAGCCGCAGGTTGTATTCGTGCTGGGCGGGCCTGGCGCCGGCAAAGGAACTCAGTGCTCCAAAATCGTGGAGGTATGAGAGAAAGGGCAATGAAAACGGCCTCTTCATCGAGCAGGGTTGTGAATGACGTGGTGCAAATGTGGTTCAGGGGGATATGCCTCTTTTTTTTTATTGTTGCGACTTCAGTAGGATCTTTTATTATAGGATAGTATCCAGTTTTCTGTCACTTCCGGTTGTCCTCTAAAACGAACCTGTGCGTTAGCCAGGCAGCTAGCTTGTTCACCTCACAGGATATCCAGATTAAGTGCCGAAAGAGAAGCAGGAGCTATATTTTAATATATTTATTTCTTCAAGGAGACTCGATGACAATAATTCTTCACAATTGAGTGAGAGCAGCAAAGAATAAGGTATTTGTGGAGTCCTGCGACTGGATGAATGGGCTAAATAATACCTGTTTACGTAGAACAAACAGGAGATAGTGTATTGACTTTTCTTCAGTGCTGTCATCCTATCTGTGCAGATGGGGTTATGTAATGTCAGTGCGAGTCTGGAGTGCACTTGCCACACTAGCCTTGACTTTGAACGATCAGAAACAAATAATGACATAGACATAGACAGGTATTGGACAAGGAACTAATCACCCCATCCTGCTGATAAGCAAGGCACACGTCAACACATGTCAGTAATATCTGTTGTCAGAAATGTAGTAAGAAACATTTTTAAAAGAATCAAAGTATTGGGGGAAAGAGGCTGTTGTATATTACTGGAAGTTTTCTTTAACCCATAATTTATTTGTTCAGTCGGGCCAGAACAAAAAGTTATTTTATTTATTTCATCAGATCATCCTGAAAGTCAGCAAAGCAAAGCCAGGACTCGTAATGAGGCTGCTGCTTTGATGTTTGTCTGAAGCTCCTGAAGCTGCAGCTCTACTGGGGGCCGCCGTGGATTCTTTGATGTGTGTTTGGCAGACACAGCTTCTTTGAGAGAGAGACTTTATAGCTACCCTTGTTCACGGATGTTACTGGGTGTTGGCTGCCATGCTTCAAGTGCAGCGATCGGGCCTTGTGGCAGCTAGAGGCATAGAGGCTCCTTTCATTCAGGACTGACTCTTTTTTTCTGCTCAGCCTGCGAGTTAGAAAGATTTATGCTGTCTGTAAAGGCTGTCGCAGTGTTCACAGAAATGTACACACCTGGAAAATAGTTTTCGATTCTCATCACTGTTACTTGATTCAATTTAGAAATTTGTGTGTTTCTTAGAGTTATGGCTACACCCATTTGTCAGCTGGGGATTTACTCAGGAAGAGCGAGCCAGAGAAGAGTCAGAGTTTGGACAGCTCATTGCCAACTACATCAAAGAGGGCAAAATCGTCCCAGTGGAGATCACCATCAACTTACTCAGGAAGGTGTGTATTCAATACAGGTTGTAAATCTGGTTCGCCTGGAAAGAGATCCTGCAGGTCAGACCTGTTTTCAACTACACTTTTACACTATTTGTTCAAACAAAAAAAATTCTACAAAACTGAGTTTTAACTTTTAATATTTAAATTTTTCTCCAAAACCCCGACTTTGATTCTGACATTTTAGTCATTTGAATGTAATGTGAATGATTTCTTTCTGTTTATCATTCAGGTTATACTGCTTTGTTTTTCTAAACTAAAGAGACAAAAATGTATTGTAGTTGTATGTTAGATACCTTCTGCTAGAGTTTACTGGTAGTGTTTCAGAATCACTTTCTTGGATGACTGTGGTCTGTTTGCTGCACTGAGAGACTAATTTTAATTTTAAGTATGTCAGCATCATGATATGAACTGTTACAGATGCAAAAAAAAAAATCTCAAATGCAAATATTTCCTGTTTGTTCTTCCCGTTTTGTTAGGCCATGGAAGCGACGATGAAGGAAAACGAGAATAAGTTCCGGTTTCTCATCGATGGTTTCCCCCGAAACGAGGACAACCTTCAGGGGTGGAATAGTGTCATGGATGGAAAAGCTGATGTTAAATTTGTGCTTTTCTTTGACTGCAGCAATGAGGTAAGTCATGGACCTTTTATTGTCCATTTCACAGCAGGGATTGCTGTTTAAATGAGGATACAGAGAAATCATTTAACATTTATTTGCTTCATTCTCATCTTCTGTATTGCTACCACCTGCTGAAGTAGAGTGATGTCAAATTGTTGTGTAGTCACCCACAAAACTAAAGTGTAAAAAGAGCATGTTCTTACATCTGGCAAGTCATCTTAAGTTTTTAGATTTAAGTGGGGAAAAAACATCCTGGAATTAAAAGTTCTTAAAAGTACTTTTGGTGGAAATGTGGTTCTGCTGTGCTGAGCTGATGTTTTGCGAGTTATTTTGCACTGATTTTGACTCTTCTGTCTGCAGGTTTGCATCAACAGATGTCTAGAAAGAGGAAAGAGCAGTGGGCGAACAGATGACAACAGGGAGAGCCTGGAGAAAAGGTGCAGTTCTCTACTGAGGAACTAATATCTGGAGTCAGACCTTTAATCTGTTTTAATTTAATAATATACCACTGAGTCGTCCATTTCCTGTGTTCGTTTTTTCCCCTCTATAGGAAAAACATGCATGTCTGATCACTATAGATTTGTCTGCCCCATTTAACTTACTGGTGGATACCTGCACAAATGTTTTTGACCTAATTTATGTCTGCTTGGAGTCCCTTGTGTCATCTGACCCCGATAACATGCCATATTTTTCTTCATTGCAGAATCCAAACCTACCTGCAGTCTACACGACCAATCATTGATCTGTATGAGAAACAAGGCAAGGTGCACACTATAGATGCTTCTCGCTCAGTGGATGAGGTGAGTAAACAGCGTCGGCTGCAGGAAAACATTCAGAAATGCCTCCCATAGAGGCCAGTTAAGGCCAGTTAAGGCAAACAAGCCCTGATTTATGAGAGAGATTATGTGAAGAATGCTACTTGTAGATTCAGTCCCCCATCATGCACCCAGGATGTTTTCAAGTTGTAATTTTTCACATTTTAGATCGAATGCTGTTGGGATTGTCGGGGGGAACTGGTAGTTTGGGCAAACAGGTATTTTGACAGGTTTTCGTGCCAAGGCTGCCATCATATGGTGGTTGTGATGTTCAGTAAATCCACCAATCTCCCTTTCAGGCTCATTTCCTTGTGCACCTCTGCATCACTATTTTTAGATAAGGCCTCTTCTGCAGTTTCACATTGGGCCCAAAGTTTCCCAGAGAAAATCATCGCTGTGATGAGAGCTTATCTCATCACTTCTCACTCAACTTTTCAGAGGAGGAATCTTTCATCCCAGCGTTTTCTATTCTCCTGTCGTAAACATTTAACACCGTCTCACAGCAGTTCATGAAATAGTCATGACCTTTAGTCTACTAATTCATTTCCCTAGACACAAATCTTACACTTTTTTCACGCACGCACAAATTTCCAAACAGTGTTTTGGTGTACCCGTGTCCATGCGCACAAAATGACCTTTTTCCACTTTTAAAAGTGGAAGAAGAAAAAAGTGCTGGAGCAAGTTATTTGTTATTTCTCATGCTACAAACCCAAATCTGAGTCACACTAATCAGAGAGTTTAAGACATTTTAGGGGTTTTTTTTAATAACTAAATTTTTTTTAGAATTATTTGAATATACATTAGCCCTTTGACAGACTGGCCACCTGTCCTGGGTTTACCTGGCATGTCTGTCATTTACTGCATCCAAAGATTTGTTACCCATGTGACATCATCCACTTTTATCTGCCACTCGGACACACTTGACGGACATCCAGCACTCATCGCAGACACAAAAGTGCCCATAAAATGACTTGTGGTGTGCCCCAAGGGTCGGTTTTAGGCCCTGTACTTTTTAATTTGTATATGCTCCCTCTTGGCGGTGTCATCAGAAGGCATGGAGTGAACTTCCACAGTTACGCTGATGTTGTACATCTACGTGTCTCCTGATGACACCAGACCAATGGATGCCCTTTTTAACTGTATTCTAGATATAAAATCTTGGATGGCAGAAAACTTTTTACAGCTTAACCAGGACAAAACTGAAGTTTTAATCGTCGGTCCTGAGGCTCAGAGAGTCTAAATTACAGGCATTTTCACTATGTCCTTCACTACAAGTGAAAAACCTGGGTGTTATTTCCGACTCTGAGCTTGGTTTTATCCCACATATTAAACATGTAACCAAAATTGGATTTTATCATCTAAAGAATATAGCCAGAGTCCTGCCTATTCTCTCTCGGGCCAACATGGAGATGCTGA